GGTTGTTAGTTGGGGATCATCCCCCTTTCTCGACAGGGCAACTGAGGCTTTATTCTCCAATCTTGGTTGGTAATGAATCTTGCAATCATATCCCAGCAACTTGGATAGCCACCCTGATGATCCTCAGTCACCATCCTCTACTGCAACACATACTTCAAACTCCTCTGATCTGTCCTGATGAGAAGGTGTCGTCCCAAAAGATAGGGCCACCACTTCTGAATGGCCAAGACAATAACAATCAACTACCACTCGTGCACTAAATTGAGCCTCGCCTTAGCTGTGAGCACCTGGCTGAAGTAGGAAACCAATCACTGGTCTTGCATGAGTACCGCTCCCAATTTGTACCCTGACGAATCCATCTCTACCACAAATGATTAACTGAAATCTGGAAGTGTACCGGTACAATGCTCATGGCTCTTTAGATGTTTGAGGACCTGCATTGCGGCTTTCCCCCATTGAAATTGTCATTCTTCAATTGCTTCGTCAATAGCCATGTTATCGTGTCGTGCCCCTTCACAAATTTTTGGTAATATTCGGTGAAACCTAGGAATCCCCAAACTCCTTCAAGCTCCTAGGTAAAGGTCAGTCCATCATAGCCCCGATCTTGGACCAATTTGCTGCTACTCTCGCCCTAGTCACCACGTTCCCTAGGTACAACTGATGCTCTCTCAAATTCCCCAGAGCTATCTGCTCCACAAGTTCTGTTTATATATGACTGTAGATCAGAATATCATCAAAAAAGACCAAAGCAAATTTCTTGATGAAAGGTTGAAAAACCCTATTCAAGAGAGATTGAAAAGTAATCGGGGCATTGGAGATGCCAAACGGCATCATCAGGTGTGTTGAAGGTTGTCTTATGCACATCCGATGGATTCATCATGTGTTGAGTGGAGTCTGTTCCATTAAGAAATTAATTAATTTTCCTTCCAAATTTTAATCTCCCTCTTTTCTCTTCCGGACCCACGTTTTCTTTTCCTATGGAGGGTCCCGCCATCTCCTCTTTCCAGATCAGCTTCCCGCTCCTTGATGGATTTCACGAATTGAAGTTCTGCCATGAATGGTAGCTGCCTTTGGCGGTAAGGAATTTATAATTCCTTCTTTTGGTATAATGGAGGGTCCCGCCACCAGCTTGAATCCTGCAGAAGAAATTTGCTTCCTAAATTTCTTCATGGGCTTCTCTATTTAAAGCAAAGGAGTGAATAATCAATTCTGTGTGGGGATTTCTCGGTTATTGCTTCTTGGTTAGATTAAGCAAGTGCAAGCAGCGATTCCATATATTGCTACTTCACGGTTTATGTGTGGGAGGCTTACGGGAGAAGCAGGAGGCAACGCAAGGCTAATTTACTCCATCGGCAGTGGCTCTCGGGTATAGAGAGAGATAAAGGAAGAGAGAGTTCTTTCTTGTATGTCGACGTGGTCGACGGTGTAATCCTCAAACTAATAAAATCCTCTGCAAATCCGTGGACGTAGGCAATTTGCCGAACCACGTAAATCTTGTGTCGTTTTTTTCGTGGTGATTTTTCTCGATCTAATTTTTCGCTTTATTGTCGTCGATTATTTTTTTCATAACATCATGATCTAGTGATATCACGACTTAAGATCAATTTTTAAAAAGATGATTGCCCCATTAAGCTTATGTAGCAAGCAACTCATCAGTCACAGGAGTAGGAAACTTATAAACACCGTCTCCTTGTTCAAATCTAGGAAGTCCACACAGATCCTACAACTACTATCTTTTTTTTTTCACCAACAGGACCGGATTGGAGAAAGGGTTCACACTATGTTTGATAATCCCGACCTCAAGCATCTCTCAGATCAACTTCTCTATCTCATCCTTCTAAATCTGAGGATACTAGTATAGTATGACACTGATCAGAGGGACACCCTCCTTTAATGTAATAACAAGCCCAGGCTCCCTCGGGAGTGTTAACCCACTTGGCTGTTGAAAGACGCCCGTAAAGTGTTGTAGGAGTTGTTAGACCCCTTAGAAAAACTGCCAACTTGAGATCCTGGACCTCTTCAATGCTTTGCAAATCCACTAAGTAGCCCATCCTTGCTCCCCGTATCGACTTAACCATAATTTTGAACGAGACCATAGTTTTGCATAAGCTAGCATCTCCTCTCAGCAACGTCTTCCTACCCTCCACTTGAAACTCCATCATCGGGGATTTTTCAGTCCACCTTCATCTCCCCAAGCATTTGTAGCCACTTCATCCCCACAATCACATCTATGTTGTCCAAGTCCAAGGGAAAGAAGCTCTCTACCACAAGTAGACTGTGTAGTGTAAGAACCAAACCCTTACAAATTCCCTGACTTTTCTCAACATTTCCTATCCCCATCATGACGTCGAAGTTCTTTGTGGCCACAAGCTCCAACTCTAACTGATCCACGACCTGATTTGAGATAAAGTATGTGTGGCCTCACTATCCACCAGCACTACAATTGGCAGCTCCTCGATCTGCCCCCTCACTTTCATAGTGTAATTTGGAGTAAATCTCACCACTAAATTGAGGGACACCTCCTCTACATCCAAGTGCAAATGCTCCTCCTCCTCCACTGCACCTTCCTCTGATTCCTCACCCTCTATCTCCTCCACTTGAACTAAAAAGATCTTAAGGGTGTGCTCCTTGCAATGGTGGTTGGGGCATACTTCTTGTCATAGCAATAACATAATCATTTTTCTCTTTTATTCTGCACTTTTGCATCGGTGCGGCACTTGAAATTGCCCCCGGAACGAATCCCCGTATTCTTCTCCTTTAGCGTCTCTTTCTAAAATGAATTGTCAGAGTCCTCGGTGTCATGGCTGTCGAGGCACTTTTGTATAATTCTCCTTTGTTGTCACCTTTGTTGATCTTCTTCACTTATTTCTTGTCTTCCATCATCAGGGAGAGCTCCACCATTTCCCTCAATCCGCGCAGTCTCAATGATCGGATGGTCGCTCAGATATCGGGCTTCAAGCCCTTCAAGTTGCTTCCCTCCAGTTCTGATGTAGAAATACCACTCAGCCACCCCAATAAGAGCTCGAACCTCTCCCTATACTCCGTGACCATCCCCTCCTGAGTCAGAGCATAGAATTGCTCATGTAGGTCTCCTTTTTGGATGGCTCGAAAACTCTCCAACAAGCAATCCTTAAACTCCTCCAGCAAATGTATCAAATACCTTACCTCCATCCATTGAAAAAACACTAGAACCTTTCCCTCCAAGCATAATCCTGCTACCACGAGCTTCTTTTCATTAGTTAACACATTGACTGCAAAGTATCGCTCCACCCAATGCACCCACCCATGTGCATGTTCTCCTTCGAAGATCGGCATCTTCAATTTTCTGACCCGTGCATCTCCACCCCAACTTCATCTTCCTCTGGTGTTTCCCCCCATGTGTCTAGGGTGAAATTCTCTTCTTCGTTCATATCCATACCCCCACTCTTGATTCCCTCCTTCCTCCTTCATGCTCTTCTGTGCGCCTTGCACCAACTCACCTCTAATGTTTGGCCCAACCCCCTCCATCGGAAATCTCCACTCCCCCCTCCTCTCAGAGTCCCAAGGGGACGCTCTTGATGGTAGATGATGTCCTCATTTTCCTCTCGTCCAATCTTCTTCCCACTTGATCTGGACAAGTATTCCCTGACCAACCCTTGGTTAAGGTTTGTAACTTGAGCGGTCGACAGGGCCTTGGATTGCATCTCCATGAGTCTCTTCATCATCTCTCGCATTTCCCCTATGCTCTCAAATCCGTCATTCATTCAGCTCTCCAAGGAATAACAACCTGTCATCTATGGTGACAAACCTTTCTTCTATTCCCGATCTGATTTCTCCTACTTCTAGCAAATTCACTTTCTTTGTTGTCATTCCTCCAAGATCTATACTTTGATACCGATTTGATACGATCTAGAACCAAAAACAACAAACAACAACGACAAAATTGAAATAAATACGTAGAAAAAACTGAAAGGTGGGCTGCTCTTATGAAAACCAAAGAAAACAAGCAAGATACAATGATGATCTGTTGTTCGAGAGGTAAATCGTCTCTCCACAAACCCTAGACCTTGCTAGGAATACCACAAGAAGAGAAGAAAACTGCAGCCAGCACAAAACAAGAAAACAAACCATAGCTCTTAGCTCTCCTAAATACTTTCCAAAGTCTCTTTCAAACCCTTCCCCAAAAATCCCCCTTGATTCCCTTCCTCCCATACGTAGTTAGCAGTTTAGTGGGCCCCAACCGGGCACTGGAATCGCCCTCAGCATTTCTGGAAAACCCACCCCTTTAGGTTGGGCCGGCTGGCTTGGCCAGGCCGCAAGTGGGTCTAGCTTGGTCTGGCTGGTCCAAACTGGTTCTCTTACAATTGTTCCTTCAGCGAAAACGGAAGACGTGACCTGGAAGACATGAGAGGGAGGCGCAGGTGCAGGCGTATCAGTGACCTAAGCACTCTGATGGCCATCTTAAAGATTTTGGAAATTGGGCATAATAAAAAATGTCAATATTAATGACCTCAAACTGATAATCAATCACTTCACCAAACCACGGAACAGAATAAAAGTTCATTTAAAAAGCTCCCATTTTGCAAAACAGTCTATTTATGCAGTACAAAGGCCCCTCAAGATAAATGGATGGATAATATTAAAAAGTTGCAAGTTGCATTAAAAGTGTCTGAAAATCATAACATCAACTATCGACCCTGATCTAAGACCTACCAAATTCAATCAAAAAGCACAAAGGACATGAAGGGAACGTGGACGAAAAAAAAGTCACTATTTAAAAAAAAACGCTTCCATTTACTCTAAATAAGTGTCTAAAAAGTTAGCAGAGTTCAAAGTCACGGATATATTGTCAAGCGAAACTCAAACTAGATATTAAGGAAATTGGAAACAAAATATTTGAAATTGTCCTTCTAGAACAATGCTCAATAAAAAATGATTATAAAACGCAGGCTAAACATAAAGAAAAAACAAGGCGTACAATGATAACACTGAACAAAAAAAAGTAAGAAAAAAAAAACATTACCAAAATCAGCGCCCTGGCCCTCAGTAAATATGGTTTGGGAGAATTAGTCCGAATACTTAAAACTTTATCAGCATCCTTTAATGCAAGCTGAATAGTAAGTTCATAAAATTAGCACGTTTTGACAAGAAGAATATTGTTATCATTTACGAAACAGCTTCTTGAAAAACATGCTTCACAATAAAAAGAATACCTCTGCATGAGTTGTTGGATCTAACCCATTCAATGGTTGATACTCTGAAGCAGTAGCAGATCTCTCTCTCAGAATTTGGCTATTCCTATTACATTTAAAATATTGAATTCAGTGTCAAGTTTTAACATAATTAGCATATAATTAATGGAAAAACATAATAGTTGCATAGAAATATTATCGTATGATAACAGAAAACTCTAAAAAATTAAATCAAATGTCAACATAATGAACACTGACCTGGAGAAAGCTGCACTTCTATTGCTTAGGATAACGGGATCTCCAGGTCTTAGAAGTTGAGCTTTAGAGTAGCAAGAAATAGCCTACACAAAAAATTAAAGCTCAACCAGAGACGTTATCATAATTAGGAAATAAGTAAGAAAATCACTCGGGTCATCTGTAATTTAAGAAAAAAATAGCATAGAGAAAATTGCTAGTTAAAGAAAAATACATATTTGAGATCAGGAACTGTTGACCTCAATTTTCGTGAGGTCTAGTATTTCTCGTAGGAATTAGGATCTAGCCTTAGGGGTCTTCCTGCGACTATGTTAGCACCTTAGAAGTGGTGCCCGCCTCGTTTTAGTTCGACCTATTTCCGTCCTCTTTTGGAGTTTCGCGTGTGCGGTATCGACTTCTAACACTTAGAAGGATGAAACCGATATGAGGAAACCCAAAATGGATTCCTATAGGACCTTTCCGAGCCTTAGGGTGGCCTTCTGCACAATTCGCACTCTTGCGCGCACCGGCTTCGCAATTCGGAGAGTCGGCGTTGCCGATCGCCGCAATTTCCATTTCCCTCGAGTAAACATTTTGGTACGATCGATCGCGGATCAATATTTTGTGAAATTTGAATTTCGACGCGTTT